GTGTGTGTGTGTGTGTGTGTGTGTGTGTGTTATATATTTTTTTGCTGTCCATCTCCCCAGCTCTTATTTGGTGCTTGGGCAGGTCCATTGAGCGATGGTCGGGCGTGCGAGTAATTGCTGATTTGGTTGGCCAGTCGATGACACAGAGAGAGAGAGAGAGAGATGCACCATGAGTCAGAGGAGGGAGAAGAAAAAAAAAACACATCACTGAGATACACCTGCCCTGACACACACACACAGTCACATGCTCCCTGCTGGGAAAATTATATACCTGCAATGATACACACACCACTCTCCCTCTATCTCTTCTCTCAGTCACATATTGAACCACAGTCTTCATTATGTGCAGACACACAGAGTCTGTCCAGGTCAAAGTGTACCACAGCTGTCTCCTTCTATCAACACGAACACTTAAATATAAACTGAATATTTGCTGTTTCCATTTCATCAAGCACAAATCGTCACTTTAGAAACAAAAACATTTTAGATGAGTAAAAATCAGCGGGTGATAAGTGAAGCTGCTCGGCCTCAGTCTCTATGCTGCAGACCAGGAAAAGAGAATATGACTCATGACGTTTTATTCTACATTTGTTCTGCTGACTTGAGCTGCAGGACACTCAGACACATGAGAGAGAGGATGAGAGGAGAAGGGGAAGAAAGACAGAGCGCTTTGAGGTGGAAAAGAGGAGTCAGGAGGAGAGGAAATCAACTTTGAAGCTGAAGGACAAATTTGACTAAACTTTTCTTAGATTTTTCACAGTCGGATCCTCACAGGCATCTTTGTGTCTTGATTTTTGTTTTTGTAGTGAAGGGATAAAACAATTTTCAAACACGTTGCATCAGTGGTGGAATATAAACATGTAGATATAAGAAGAAATTTACTTTTTAAACTTTTAGTCACTAGTTTCTATACAAAGTAGAATGTCACATACCTCCACAAAGGCCCATTAGTCTCCTTAAATTCAATCAAGATTTTCATTCATATATCTCTTAGTTATCATTCGTCTTCCATTTCATTCATTATGGTTTTAATGTCTTCAATTGAACGTTTTTGCATAATTTTGCTGAAAAACAAACGAACAAATGAGCAGACAGGGTTTCAAATATAACCTCTTTTTGCAGAGGTAATAAATAAAACTTTAGTTTAGATCAACTACTCAACAGTTTAGAATTAAGCAGTTGTTAAATGTCAGAAATTAATCTAGAATATCAGTCGGGTTATAAAGGGTTTATGATTTATATGTAATTTTTCTCCAACGCGTTCGTTCTTAAAACAGTGTGACATTAAAACAGATTTACGAGTCTGATGAAAAGCTGCAGAATGAAACGTTTGGGGACAGTTGGAGGCGGCAGGGCCGGCGTTGATGTTGTTTCTGAGCGTGCTCGGTGATAACCACCTCCTTGTACCTTCTTGGTGTGATGCCAGGAAAGAAAATGCCATCTGTATGCCACACTCTCATCTCACCACCACAAAATTGATCCACTATGCCCTCTTTATCTGCTTACTCATTCACACCTATGTATGCACACACACAGAACTGTGTCTTGGCTGCATTCAAGGGGCCTCTCTCTCTTTCTCTCTGTGTGTTTGTGGGTGGGTGTGTGTGTGTGCATGTTTTAAAGTGGACGCCCTCTCGCCATCTAAAAGGGATTTATGCATAGCCGGGTCCTAGAGTTTTTCCTGTTACGGTTTATATGATAAGCTTTTTTATATGTTTAAAATCAATATGTAATCCTATGCAGGAGCTTATCCCTCTCCACACCCCTGACACACACACACTCACACACTTTCCATTTGTAAATCTATTTGGGCTTTGTAACACATCGGGGCGGCACGCTACAGACCCTGATTGATTAGGTGCACTGTGGAATCCTATCACATGGGCGACTTTTGATGATGTTGCCAACTCTTTCAGGATTGCTAGTTGACTGGAACCGCTGATAGCGAGTAACTTCGTTCCACGAGTTGTCGGACTTTAGTTTGGGGGAATTTAGGAAATTAGTGTCTTTATTTATTTCCTTGCCACGAGTGTGTTTGTGCAAACTTTGAGTTTCCACAAAAACTGGTGACAAAGTCTTAATGAGTTAAAATGCAGAGAACATTCTGCTCACATCCTCCTCAGCAGTTCTAATGTCATGTCCAGGATATTGAAACAAGTGCCTCCTGTAGTGAAGCTAACATGATATTATATGCTGGTTATTGTAACATATGGTAGAACAGATGCTGGTATCGTGCAGCTTTGTTTAGATTCATGCTTCAGTTTGTGGATCATTGACTTTTCTCCGATATGCTTTAGTTTTGAAAAGTTAAAAATGGGTCTTTAAAACACTCACTCACAGTTATGAAGTCTCTTAAAAGGTTTTAATTGGATTCAGGTAAACTGACAAAAAACAAGAATCTCAGTTTCAAGAATCTTAAAGAATATAAGTTGTATATAATATAAGAAGTGTCGTTGAAATAAATTTTAGATTATTATTTGTATTGGTCAGTGTTTTAGCCCTCAGCAGAGTCTAGTGAAGACTTTAATGTTTAAAATCAATCGTCAGTAATTTCCTAAAACGTAAACAGTGCATGTGTGGGGAACTACTTTCTGCCAGGGATTAATACACTGGTGTTCTCAGGAGTATTTCCAGCCGCAGGATGGTGCACGTGGGACAGACTCAGTGCTCGTGTTCATTATAATGAAGAAACGTCAATGGATGTGACTCAATGTTGAGTTTTAAATAGTTTGTCTCGACTCAGATGAATAACATACATCAGACTTCAGCCCGGAGACAACACGTGTGTAACGTCTGAAAACTGGTTCAGGACGTCACTTAACTTTATGAAGCTCAGATTTGGCGTCTTATGGCTTCACGATGTGAGCGAGAGGAGGATACGAGGGACTGAGTGTCCTCGCTTTGAGAGAACGAGACTTTGGACCAGTTTGCTCTCTTGAATAAATTTAGCGTTGGAGAGAGAGCGGGCAGGGAGGGGTTCATGGGGATTTGAACCAGCGCATTCTTGTGTGCCTTGTGCAGACTCACATGGTTACCATCGGTGTGCACGACGAGGCTTATCTGAATACAAACCCACCGTGTGAGTTGTACACACTCCTCTCTCTCTCTCCCTCCCTCTCTCTCTCCCACATGGGGGAGGTGGTGCTTACATAGAGGGGGGGGGGGCCTCCGAGTGGCTGCAGGGTGTTTTGTTTGTTCTCGGGTGTCTAGTTACCCAGCCTGCCCCACTCTGGTGTTGCCTGGTCACGTCTCTCATCAGCCCTCTTTATTGTTTACCTTCCTAATGAGGGGGGCGGGACTCTGTGACATGTGATTGACAGCAGTGTGCTTGCCCCACAGCCCCACAACCGCCAGCGCCCCCCCTCCCCCTCCCCTCGCTGGGTCAAACAGGACTTTGGCTTTTTGGTTGAGATGTAGTCTGAAGGAGCAGGAGGATTTTTTTTTTTTTTTTTTTCCCACATACCTCACCGGGTTTTATTTTTTCCCCTGAACCCTCCTCTAGTGGGCCGGCCTTGTTGAGAGAGGATTGTGGGAAAGCAGAGTTATGGCGGATATGGACGCACACATTCCTGTCCCATAGTTATCTGAAGATGATGACTCACATGATGACTCACATGATGACTCACATGATGACTCTGCTGCTTCTCTTTCTCTCTTTTCCTGCACTCGACACAGTTTGTCTTCATCTCTCGTTGAAACAGAAACGCTCGTCACACTCAGGTTTGCACATATTTGGTCAGTTTTTGAAGTTTTCTCCCCCCCCCCCCTACAAAGCCAGGGAGAGTAAATTTGCTTCCCTGAGGAAAGAAAAGAACAAGGGAGGGGGAGAAAGAAAGGAAGAGAAGGACGTACAGAGCCAAATATTGGGACTGTGTTCATTTCGCTCTGTGGTCGACTTCAAAGGGACGAGCGGGGCCAATGAAGAGAGCGCAGACCTTTCAGGACAAACACACTGAGCCCAGCGTGACACACACACACACACACACACACACACACACAGCCTGACTGCTGCAATTTGACTCAATGAGGGGGGGATATTTATTTTTAATAAAGCCACACTTATTTTGGGGACTGACATTTTACAACATCCCTTTTATTCTGGAATCAATAGACAGTTAAATATTGATAGAGGGGTGAAGTTGCCTACGCGCCACAGAAGTTGCACACGGCTCAGCTGTGTTTGAATTCTCTCTGGGATGGAACAGATTTCTTTTTTTCTTTAATATGAAAGGATGGCGCGTTCTGAGGGGACACGTTCTCACACTGAGCCGAGGATTTCCTGCCGCCGTTTAGCTGTGGCTCAGTGAATCTGCACAGAAACAACCTGACACTGAGTTTGTTTCTTAAAAAATATTCGGACCTGTTCTGTGTTGCAGTCGCAGGAAAGTTGACTTGTTTTTCTGGGTTTTTTTACTTTGTGAATCTTGTCCTCTTTGGTTTGTGGGTGAGTTTTTTTGGGGGGAGCTGCTGTTGTTGGGTGAGTGTGGAGCTCCGGGCACCAGGCGGATATTTGAGCCCCGGGGGGGGAGCGAGCGCTCTCCTGTGGGCAGCCCCCCCTCCTCCAGGGAGAGGCTGAGGGGATTTGGATCGGGGTCCCACCTGGACCCTGTGGGGCCCCTTCCTGCAAAAGACCCTGGAGAACTGAGGGAGAGGAGTCAGCTCACCTGTTTGTTTAGAACGAGCAGTTCCTCTGTGGTAACGTTTATGAAGAACCAACAAAGTCCTTTATGCAAAACTAGTCTCCCTCTGTCTCCATTAGAGATTCTTCACTTTCTCCTACAAATAGACTCAAATAGCACAAATTAATAGAAAAGCTTCATAAAATAAGGTTTTTAATACGTTTATAAAACATGAAGACAATTTGTGCATCGAGCAGGAAACAGTGAATGAAAACATTTCTACTTCTTTAAATGCAGTTTAAACCATTTGAAAAACTTCCTGGTGATATAACGTGTTTTCCAGGGCTGTAGGGATTTGATATAAATTATGACTCATGAGAATTTCCTTTTGTAAACATACAAACATTTGTCTTGTTAAAATGATGAGTGAGGACTGGACGAGCAGCGTTTTCCTGTGGGAGTGAGATTCTTCTTATATCCATGAGCTCAACATTAGCATGACAATATCCTTCAAGTGTGTTTGCTTGGGTCAACACATCATCACTGTGCACACACACACATGCACAACCTGATGGAGTGTGTTTACACGTCACATTTACACACTGGTCCATATGTGAAGCTAATCTCCGTCTCTGCAGATTAGTCCAGCAGATAAATAAGAAGATATATTTTTTACAATCATGTCCATCGTCCACTGAACGATCAGAAGCTCAGCTCGTCCATTTATGTCTCACATTTCTATTCCAAGAGGATCTGAGCTGATTCAGCTTTTTGCAGAAATGTCTCACAGCCATCTGAAAGTTCACCGTGTGTTCACAAAACCTTTCCTCCATGAGACAAAGTGTGTGTGAAGGTTTTTACAGTAACATAAGAAGGAGAGCGTCCTCAGTGTCTCCGGCTCTGACCCACTTTGTCCCTCTGGTGTCGTTGCAGACTGGCAGAAGACCGAGGCCCAGAAGAGACGAGAGCAGCTGCTGCTGGACGAGCTGGTCATACTGGTCAACAAACGGGACGCGCTGGTCAGGGACCTGGACGCCCAGGAGAAACAGTGAGTGACCCACAGTCAAGACACAACAACAACAATCAAGAGTAAATGATAAACACACACAGCAGGTCAGAGGTTTTTCTCTCAGTCTGAGAATATCTCTCCTCGCTCTGGTGAGTTAGTGCCAGAGCGTGCGCTGCCTATCTTTACATTTCCAGAGCTTCCCTAGAAACTAGTGGTAGTGAAAAACTCGGTGCCGGGCAGGTCGCATTCCTGCCAGCCTGCAGTCATCCTGCACGGCAGCAGCGGCACACCTGCACGGGCGGGATCCTTTCCAGATTGGCACCGCTGTCCGTCAACAGGGTGCCAGGCGGGTGCCAGGCGGGTGAAAGGTCGCAGCTCGGCCCCTGGCGCTAGGCCACGCCACAGGTGGCAAGGCGACGGCTCCCGTAGCGCCAACTGTGTGCGTGCATGTGTGTGTGTGTGTGTGTGTGTGCACCAGCCTCCTCCTCGCTCCCACCGACACATCTGACCTTTTAACCTTTGCCCTCCGCAGGGCCGAGGAGGAGGACGAGCACCTGGAGAGGACGCTGGAGCAGAACAAAGGCAAGATGGCCAAGAAAGAGGAGAAGTGTGTCCTTCAATGATTGTTTCATTTCAGAAAAACACAACCAACAAATGTAGCCGATAAAAGAAATGTATGGTCATTATTATTATTATTATTATTATTATTATTATTTGATAGCAGCTTTTAGACGTTTGAATCCACGTGTTGTTTCAGTCAAACGATCCTCTGAGACTCGGCCTGCGATGCCTTTGCACCAACTTTATACAAACTGTCCCACATATCCACCGTATTTTTATTTTCATTCTCCCTCGCTTTACCAAGACATGGTACTTGTATGTAATATAAACATGTTTGAGACGAGCGCAGACATGTGATTCTTCGTGTATGTAAACCTGCAGCTGCACAGCCTCGGTGTGTGCAGAGGGTTTGAGGTACAGCACAACCGGGTTTAATGGGGGATTTTTCTTTATATTTTTATTTTTATTTTTTCAAGACGAGGGGGCTGACGTCTCAGTCGGACTTTTAAAAGGAAAAAAAAATTTTCAAGCGACTTCATTACTTGACTGTATCTTTTAATTATTTCTCTGAAAAGTTTTTACTTGTAAAATATCTTAAAGGGCGTGGGGGGGGGGCACATAACGTTCATAAAACGTAACTTTTCCTATTGCTTTTTTTATCGTCTCGGCAGTTTACCAAAAGAACGATGATGTTTAAAAGAACAAAAACAAAATAAAAACACATGTTGTACATTTTCCTCACTGCTCTGACCAACAGCTTCCAGAACCCTCTTTTATTGTTTTTCAGAATTCATGCAGTCGAAAACACAAAAAAGAATATATATTATTTATTGTCCTATAAGCTGCTTGTAACTGAACCTACCATCACAGTCTCATGTGCGTTTTGTCTGCACAACTTTTTTGGTTTCTATTTATTGTATCCTGAAGAATAGAAATGTGCTTCCACGTGCATCTCTCTGTAGAGCTCCACGGTGCAGTTGTTCCATTTGATCTGTTTTATTTATTCCAGTGTCATAACCCAAGTCTTCAATAATAAAAGTCCTTATGATTTCATATTCCACAGGCGCAGTGTGGCGTGTTTTAAATCTTCTGGATTAAAACAGAAGCAGATTTTTATCTCCTCACATCTGTGAAACCATGAATTTAAATGGAATCTGTGGATGTAATTTGTTTTTTCATTTAGTTTCTATTTTTATAATTACACACACACACACACACACTCCGGTTTAAAAGTTCTAATCCTGCTTCTTCTTCTCTATCAATATTTTACCTCCAGTCACACACACACACACACACACATCTCACTCCTCCATTTTCTTTTCTGTCTTTATTTCTCTTCTCATGCCAACAACTTATTGAAATGCACGCGCGCCTCTGGCACATCAGTGGCTCGTGTATCACTGTGTCCACCAGCGAGCGTTGTTTAATATTCCTTATTATTCTGCGCTGCGTTCACGTCCCCTGCGACTTGTGCGTGTTTATAAATTAAAATTGGCGTCGAGGTTTTTTTTTGTTTGAGGTCGGAGCGGAGCAGGTTTTCCTCTGAGCAAGATTAGACAAATCACTTTGTACCGAGCAGATGTTTTTTTGTGGGCCGCTTGTGAGCGCGCTGGAGACGGGGGGGCAGAGCTGGAGAGGGTCGGTCACCCGGAGCCGGAGTCAGGGATGGGGAGAGAAATGAAAAACTGTGGATGTCATAATTTTTCAGATGAAGAAAATAATAATCCCACCACCTTGTTAACACTCTCGTTACAGATCCACGATGACCAAACACATTTAAAGAATAAAAAAAATGTAATAAAACTGTGGATGAACCGGAGCCTCCGCGGTTCAACCCTCCTCTCCATCCCTGCAGGCGCCCCCCGTCCACGATTAACGCCGGGAAATCGGTTGTGACAGCGGACGTCCTCCTCGGCCTTTCCAATACATTCACATTAATTTGCGGATTCGTTTCTTCGCTGCTTGGGACCGACACTGACGCGCACTTTTACGCACGGTTCGTCCCCCGAGGCGCTTTGTTTTACTTTGTATTAAAGAGGCTGAAATCTGGAGAATAAAGCGGAGTCAAGGACGAAGTGCTCCGTGTCGTCAGAGGGCTGCGTGTGTGTGTGTCCGTGTGTGTGTGTCATTTACAAAGAACCTGACACTTTAAACTTATTTATGTAAATCGTGTATTTTTTTTCTACCTCGTTTTAAATCATATTTGATTTTATTCTGTTTGTGCGTAAAACTTGACTTTTATTCCTGAATCTGACAAAAGTTTTTAGTTCGTGTCTCAAATTCACAATTAATTTATCTGTGCGTAAATCCCCTCCAGTGATCAACACTTGAAGCCCAGATGAAACAGAGCACTTCTGAAACATGTAAAGCTTTTATTCCTGCTTGTTTTTAAGAATAAAAATGGAGAAGCGGTCTCTTACCTCCTCGGGATCACTTCTCTGAAGGAGCCAGTGGAAGCGGTGAAAAACATTTGGAGCCACTTTCTGCGTTTCCTGTGAATCTGGAGCGACGCGGTGCGTAAAGACGCGGCGGAGTGTCGGTGCTGCTGTGCAGCTGAGGATCCTGCAGCTGACTGGATTATCTCCTGAGCTTTCATGTCTCCTGGCCTCACCTCACAGGTGCTCAGCTCGGCCTCCGCGTTCACCTCCTTCTCCCCGACACCGTCCCGATAAAACAACATCCACCGGCACCTGAGGGAGCCCGGGAGTCCGCGTGCAGCGCCGGGGCTCCTCCAACTCTTGTGTTTTATGCATCATCGTTTTAATAAGCACCGACAACATCCCCGCAGATCCCCGCTTCCAATCCTGCCGGCTGAAGGGACAAAACTTTTCCCCCTCCTCTCCTCGCCGCCTAATCCCAGGCTTTACCAGCTCAGCATTAAGAAAATTCAACTGCAATTTGGGATTAGACAAAATACTCTTATTACAAAAGGTTGGTGCAACTTGATAACTTGATACTTGTTCAGGGGTTTATCTCGGGGTCTTACTCACGTCGAGAGAGGAGGGGAGGAAAAAAACAAGAAATGTAGGGGACATGTCAGAATAACCCGAGTCTTTTGTGTTGTGAGGACCATATTTGTTGAATGGCCTTTTGCATAATTTAACGAACACTGTGTGTGTGTGTGTGTGTGAGTGTGTGTGAGAGTGTGTGTGTGTGAGAGAGAGAGAGGAGAGGAGGGGTGGTGGTGTTTCCCTCAGACCCTCCACGGGCCCTCTGACTGCTCAGACTTCTGATGTGGTGGAAATAAAAAGGTGCGTAAAAGTGTCTGACCCCCAGTCAGCAGCCAGGAAACACACAGAAGATCAATTAACCAAAAACCTGAGGGGAGCGTCACCTCCTCTTCTTCTTCTGATCACTTCACATCACTCTGATTATTTATTTATCGGTGCGTAAAACCGCAGGTGGCTGTGCGTAATTCCTGTTTATGAGAAGGTGCATTTTGGTGCGTTCAGGTTCCTCCACGTTAATAAACAGCTTCACATCAGGCCTCCACTCAACCTCCAACATCACTGATTCACAAGTTTCTCTGTCAGAGTCCAAGACTTAGAAACCTTCCTCATCCACACTCACACACACACACACACTCTATATATATCATTTCCATCCTCTCTGTGAACATTAGCTCTCTTTCAGCTCAGGCCTCATCCTCAGAAGTTTTTTTGTCGAACACACTTCTGCATCTCCACCTCCCTCAACAACGCAGAAAGCTGAGAACAGAATCATCGTGTTTTGTGTTTTGTGTTTGAATCTCGTGTGAAACATTTGATTGAGGCTCCGCAGCCTTTGGTGCAGATTCTTCTTCTTCTTCTTCTTTTTTTTTCCTCCGCAGTGAGTTGGAGGTCTTTCCCTATTAAACTTTACGTCAACCATCCTCAAATGTAATTCTAAATGGGGATTAGAGCTCATTAATATTCATGAGACTGGTGCGTGTGCGCGCGTGTGTGTAGAGAGAGAGAGGGGGGAGAGAGAGAGTGGGGGGGGGGGGTTGTATCACAATAAAAATCAAAATGAATAAATTTCACTTCTTTTCTCCTTTTTTTAAATTTTATTTCTCTCGTTCACTTTTTGATTCTCTGCAGCAAAAACATTGAGTTTAAAAATAAGAACGCACGTGAGGCCGGATGTGTTTTAATATCATTTATAAACTAAACATCTGAAGCAAATTAAATTGTTTTTAAACCACAAAAACATTTTCTGTTTCTCGAAACATCCTGAAGCAGAAGTTTCATTAATTGTAACGAGGGATTCGTCTCTTTTTCTTTTTTTTGGTCATCAGAACGTTTTTTAAAATGTTTTGAATCTTTAACTGATTCTTAAAACTTTGAGGATTTGGGAGAAAATCAGTTTCGGATGAAGGAAGATTTAGTTTTTTTATCAGAACTAGTTGTTGGTCGCTCTGTGCAGTGATGCCACCTCCTCCTCCTCCTCCTCCTCTTCTGAGCTCTACGCACACAAACACACGTCTAAACTCTTCCTGTGAAATGATGATGGGAACAATCTCTACTTTTAATTTCTGCTTTTACGCACTTTGGCACAAAACCCGTGCGCCCTCAGGAGCGCGTTTCTCTCCTGCTGCAGGCCTCTGGAACATTCCCGTCATTTTCGGAGGCTCGTTTGGTCTCGGGACCGGGACCTGCAGGAGGAGGGGGGAGGAGGAGGAGTGGGGAGGAGGAGGAGGAGGAAGAGGAGGAGGAGGAGGAGGCTCTCTGCGCTCATAGGACGCCCGCGCCGTCCGTCAGCCCGGGGACGCGCGGCCATTGGCTGCGGGAGGCGGATCTGCAGGTGTCCTCCGCTCTTAGAGGCGCGGGGCGGAGAGAAGGTGATCAATCTCCATCCGTCTCAGAAATCACCTTAACACTCTGACAGACGCGCGGCGACGAGCCCCCGAAAGCAAATGAGTTTGATTTATTTGGCTGCAACAAAACAAAACAAAAACTCCCGCAACCGCAGCGAGGAAGCGGCGACGCCCGTGAGCCCGCAGCCCTGCCCGCGTGTGAGAGAGCGTGCGTGACTCCTGCGTGATGCTGCTCGGTGTGAACTCTGCGGTTTGTTTCTGAGACACTGTTCCTGCTGCCGCCAACACTTCCTGCTGCTGGATTTTACTCTGCTGCTCCGGGAGCTGCGGCACCAGAGGAAGAGGAGAAAACACCAAGGTAACGTCTCTTCCTCCTTTTCTCTCCCCCTGAAGTTGAAGCTCATCCTCCTGTTCTCTGCGCAAACTTAACTCCGTTCACGCATTTCACCAAATCAAACAAGTTTGAATCGTCCCGTGAGGACTGATCTCAGGTGACTGTTAACTTTTTTAAATGAATCGATGGATCCGCCTGGTGCAGAACTTTAAACTGACCTCACTTCCTCAGCAGAAGACGAAGCTCCACATTTCCATTCCTCTCAGTTTGTGGGATGAGTGGCCATCAAAAGCTTTGCAGCGCGCACCGGATAATTGGAGAGGCGTGTTTTGGTTTTTGTTAATTTATTTGGCAGATAAGAGGCTCCTCTCTCTCCCCGGAGGTCTCATCTAAATTCTAATTGAGTTCATTTGCACCGAGAGCTCAGCGTGTTTCTCTGCGGCCTGTCAGAGCTGCAGAGCCGCAGGACGAGCCGCTCAATACACGTTGGTCTGGTTCCTCTAATTTAATTCACACACTCAAACTAACTCAGAAGCTCGAGCAGCGGAATCAAACCTGGTTTTTTTAAATGTTTCAGGGTTTTGTTGGATGAAATTATTAATTTATTAATTTAAATCTTTAATCCTTTCGTTTCTACTGAGAAAACCAAACTCAAAGTATTTCTCCAAAGGCTGCAGGATTTCAAATGCGCGGATTGGAATGAAAATAAAACTCGTTATATTTTAAAAAGTCTCATTTGACGTTTAATTTTTGAATCTGTTGAAAATAGAAAAGTGAGGAAATATTCTGCGTTTTTCTTTCAGTGAAGTTCGTTTTTTTTTCCCTCCAGCTTTAAAATAAAAGAGGAACCTGGTGAAGGGTCCATAAATTCTTAAACAATTAAATGAAACCTGTAATTAGAAAGAAGTAAAAAGTGACACCTCAGACGTTTCTCAGATTTGAAATAGAATTAATAAAATGATTCATGGTTCGTTTAGTTGATTTTACGTCCTGATGTAGATTCAGTTCTTTTCAGTCTGAGGAGCCAAAGAAAACTAAAATACTGAAAAACAAAAGTTTGACGAAAAAACAAGAG